AGACTTCGTTGAAGGCAGAAGTAGAACAGCCCCCAAATTGGGTGGTCGAATGGGCAGCCCGTGGTTGATGGGTGTTGTAGGCCACCGCCGAGTGGAAACCTTCGCCCTTCCGAGCCATAGTACTGGCTCGTTCACGCCAGCGGTTGGTTGGTGTAATTGCTGGCCAGAATTTATTCAATTCAGCCAGAAGTAAAAAGTCCACACGTTTGCTTCAAATCCAGTGGTTCAGCTGTGCTTGTTTAAGGTCGTCCGACACATCAGGAATAGTGTTAATATTCTGGAAGGCGAGTCGGGCGGACCCCGGTGCACGCACGAGATGGTTGTCACCAAAACCATCTCCTGGAAGGAAGGAACTTAAGAGGGAATCAAGAGAGGCGTGTGGAGCCGCTCTTGACCGGTTGCTGTAGATAAACGATCCATGCCTGTTACGCCGCAACCGAGCGGCAGGCGATCTTTTGTTTATCATGGACCCGTTGTGGGGGTACTGATACCCCCACAACCGGTGTCCATAGGAGAGGACGCATTGGGTTGGTCCTCCCCATCTTCTCCGTCCGTTTCTTGAGCCGTCGCTGGTGAAGCAATGGTACAACCCGAGGGACTGAGTAGTGTAGTAGCGCTGACGCGTGTTTGGCCCGGTGGACCGGTAGGAACGTCCACTGTAAGCATCGGAATGGGCCTAACGTCTGTAGCCAACTCTGACATAGCAGCAGCTGCCTCGTGGGCGGCCTTCATTGCCTCCAATTCGTCACAAACGGACTGTAGGTCCCGGTTCAAACTGTTCCTCTCGTCAGTGAAAGTCTCGATGGTCTGAAGAGCGGTCTGGAGTTGTTCCAGTCGTCGAGGTAACCAAGCACAGATAGGCCATCGTCCACGTCCCGAACATGTTTGGCGTGGATGTCGATGTGGAGGGTGCCCTCGAGAATCTCTACAGGGTCTTCCATGCAAAGAAGGAAGTCCATTGGGTCACGGACTTGAGGACCTTGTTCGTCGGTGGGATCGTCAATACAGCGGAAGCGAAGTTCCGACGGGACCCATTCAATGTGAAGCTTGCGATTCTGGTAGGCAAGGTCGGTAGCTGACCAGTTCTTGATGACGCGGATGAAATTGGGGAACGACAACTCGCCAAGGTGAAACTGAAGAAAGGACGGCAGGTTGTCGAGCACGTTCATCGCAAGAGGAAGATAGCGCTGGCGAACCACCACAAAATAGCATCCATCTTCCTTGGCTGGTAAGATCATGACGAAGAGAGGGCTTGGACTGTCGTTGGTGAGGTCCAATTGTGCTAGCTTGTCGATCCAGGCATCGTCGTCCTCAGGAGACTTGGGTGCAGTGAGGAGCGAGGTTTTCGTCTCCTCCACCGGCTTTGGAGTGGAGGCAACCAAAGACTTTTTGATGATTGTGGTCCACTCAAAGGTTGGGGGGCATCATCATCGTCGTCGTCACCGGACGACTCGCTATCACTCAGCACCTCTATGGCCTTGGCAGGGGGCTTCTTGGGTTCTGCGTCCTCCGCCTTCTTGGCCTGGGCGCCTGTGACAATGACGGCAATAAGGAATCGCAGGAGGGTGAGCTTCCCAAAGTTCTCAGTGACAGCAGAAGTCAGCATGCCCGGGAGTTCGATAGGAATCCGGTAGGTGGCAGTCCAAACCCGTGTCGCCCAAGATCCCACTCTCTTCGAGCTGGGGTGGCGGTGATCCTTCACGCCACGGGTATCAACGCCATCCAGATCAAGTTTCTCTTGCGCTGGCGCTCCGACTCTTTTTTCCTTTACATTCGCAATGTTGCGCACCTTTCGGAGCAACAAAACCGGGCAATTAACCAACTTGCCTTGGCTACTCAATCTGAAGTGACTGCAGCTCGAGTTGCTTCTCAACTCATACCAAACATTGTTTAGCCATACCATTACATCTACTACTCTCCTCCTCTTTCCTTTTTTCACTTGATCCCCCTTTCTCTGTTTTCCCTTTCCGCCCTTTCTTTCTCCCTTTCTTTCCTTCCCTCCTTTTGCTTGCTTTCTCGGGCACTTCCCCTCCTTCCCCTTTGTTTCTTCCCTTTCTGATCGAACGCCCAGCTTTCGATCCTTGGAAATTTCTTTTTCCTTTCCCTTTTTTTTTGTTTCTTTTTTTCTTTTCTTTTGTATTTTTGCCAATTTTTTATTATTTTTTTAAATTTTTTTTTCTCCCACGCCTGCGCTCGCATGTTTGTGGCCTTTGTCTTCCGCTTTCCCGGAAAGCGATCGCACCCGTAGTTTGGTGGCTCTCTCATTTGCACCATAGCTTGGTACCCCATTTGGTCCGGGTTTGCCTGTCAATCCTATCGATTGTCCCTTTCGAATCCTATGATTCGACCTCGGTGCAAACCAGTCACTAACTTAGTACCTCGCTACTGTGCCAAACCTACTCGCTT